TAGAACGACGAGCATCTTCGGGTGCAGGCGTCTTGGGCTCCAATGACACCAGGGGCTCTGCTGTTTGCTGGGTCTGCGGGCCAGCGGCACGAGCCTGAGCCTTTACGTACGAGGCACGCTTGAATATGATGTCATACTTGCCACTCAGCTCACGACGTTTGTCCAGAGTGAGAACAGACAGGAACAAGGTCATCTGGAAGCAGAAGTTAATCGCCACGGCGCAACAGGCCATAGCTGCGAACCAGAGCACCACAGGCATCGCCGAGATGGAACCGAAGGCAAACGCCACTGATTCCGCTGCAGACGCCATGAAAATACTGGGGCCAATGTACGCCAGACTCTCGGACACGATCGTCGTGGTGATCTCCTCGATCGCCTTCGGGTTGTGCTCGAGACCAACAAAGAGACTGGGCTGTTCACGACGCATTTGATCCTCCTTTTCAGTCATAGCGTGGATCAGCAAGAAGATGTTGTCAACACCGATTGCCAGCGACAGGAAAGGAACGACCTCCATAATAATCAGCTGCAGCTTGACTCCGAACCACATATAGAGACCGATAGTCGACGCCACACCACACACGATACTCATCACACCGCAGAAACCAGCGACAATCTTGGACGAGATGAAAAACTCACGACTGAACTTGATGCGGTTGATACCAAGCGAGATGTAGATGATCATCAAGCAGTAACTCAACGCCACAGGACCCATACCGTTGCTCGATTCTGCGTCCACCTCGTCCTGGACAGAGATCTCAGCGTAGAAGTAGACGTTAAACACCTTGTTGGACTCTGCCTCCTTCTTCATCGTCTTGATGTATTCCCGTTCCCACTTGATCGCGGGCTCATTCTTATCGTCATCGGCGTAGTTATAGTTCAGGTACGAAGAAACGAACGCGATCGAGTCCAGAAACAGCGTGTAGTTGCTCTCAGCGCCTTCAGGGAATCCACCCAGGTACGTGTTGTACAGATTCATGGGCGATCCGAAAGTGGACAAACAGGGACAATCACTCATTGTTGAGGGAAGCGAGTCGCCGTCCTTAAGCGCATTCTTCAATTCAGTGCACAGCGCCACATCCGACGTCGTCGGAGAGTACAGACAATTGCTGAAGTGCTCCATCTCGAGACCGTATTTCTCGTAGAACTCAAAGTGCTCCATGTTGTTCTGGAAGTACTGAGTGATAGAGTTGATAGTACAACCAGTACCTGTAGCCTTCCAGCAGATATCGTCCAGAGTGATGGTCTCCTCCCCATCGTCCGACGAGTATACCACATCAGCCGCCACGTTCTGGACACGGATAGCCTCCTTCAAGATGGCGGAACGGTAGATGTTGCCACCGTCTTTGGGCACCATGATGACCTGCTCGGAGCGGTAGAACGGGTTGAACAGGTCACCGTAGTGCTGGCGTTCCTGGTACGACGTACTGGATGTAGACACCCACAACTTGATCGGATCTATCTCGATTTCAATGTTGTACAGGCCAATGCAGCAGGCTACGACGACGCACAGCACGAGCGGGATGATCTTCTTCGGTCGGTTGCCGGTCGAGACATACACGGCCCAACTGCACAGCTTGTTCGTCATGAGTTCATCCAGGAAGCTCAGACGTCCGGTGTTTGTCTCCATCGCGTGGGCAACACCATGGACCTCGGGAGTGTACGGTCCAATATGGGGCGTGCCAGTGTGTGGGTTCGGAATGCGAGATCTCCGTTCGCGGCAGCCAGCGACGATAAAGCCCACGATCAGCAGCACAGCAACTACACCACCGAATATCACGAGGAAGTAATTGAGAGGCGTCCATTCCGTCACGGGGATATTTGCAGCCAGATACGCGTTCAGCTCAGCCCACGTCGAGTCATCACCAGAGCCAGCAGCTCCGCTACCTGACGTCGAACTGGCAACAGCACTGACAGCACCATAGCAAGACTCCGTGTACGTACGGTCATCGTCGGAGCTTACGGCACACAGGGAGCCACAGACGCCGACGCAGGACGTCATCCGGTTGTTCATAGGCAAAATGCAGTTGGTCGCGTTCACGTTGTCACAGTGGCAAAACTCGGTCATTTGGGTCAGCTCGGGCATCTTATCCATCGTTGTCACGTTAATCTGAAGCGGAGATCCAATGCTGTTGTAGGCGTACTTGCCCATGTACTCCATGAGGCCGTAGCCGTCATGGCAGTCCTGGTTTGGGTTGCACAGCAGAGAGAAAGAGCTGTCGTCCTCGCAAAAATCGTAAACGTCACGGATCCAGTCGTTGCCCACGTAGTACGTGAGTTCCTCTACCGCAGGGAACACCGCGTCTGGGTGCTCGTCGTCGCCTCCCATGATCCGAACCTCACTGACATCCAGAAAGAGACTGTTGTTGGGACTGCAAGTCATTTGACAGAAAATATTGCGTAGATTCTCCTTACAGGCCGAACAAAGACCAGGAATCATCCGGACCTGCGTAGACAGACCTGTGTACTGAGACTCGGTACAACAGAGCATGTCGTCTCCCTGGGCGATGGTCTGGTTGTAAAGAAGAGGGCAGTCCACTTCGAACTGTTCGCGGTTGGAGTCTGACCACTCGGAGAATTTGTTGGAAAAGCCTGCGTCATAGGCGTCCTCGACAGACGTCGGGTAGTATCGGTTGGGAATAGCGGCACTTGGGGTCGTGACGTTCACATAGGACGAGTCGAAGGCTACGCAGTGACCAGGGGCACGCACAAGGACACCGAGCTCGTGCACGAGTGCTGGGTCGTGGATGCACTCCTCTACTTTGGAGTAGCTGCACATGGTGAGCTGCGACCTGATATCGGCCAAGACAGTCACGTTGTCAGCGAGTGTCCAAGGCACGTGACTGGAGACGGACGAAGTTCCCGACGAGGCTGTAGCTGTGGAGCTGGCACTGGTCGTTGTCGTTGTCTGAGAAACGGCGCCGCCTATGGGCAGCAGCAACGCCGCGAAGGTCGAGACGCGCATGGTCGTGGAGGAAGGGAGAACTACCAGTGGAGAGCTGCAAACCCTAATCAGCCCAACGATCTCGCAGCTTGCTCGAATGTCGGTAGATTTCAAAGTGAGCTCTCGGGGCCCGGGTCGGGTGGATGGCAGTCGCAGCGACACACTTGGACACTGTGAGCACTGCTCACTGAGCAGTGAATCCACGCCCATCCGTGCAAGCTTAAAAAGACTTCCAACTTGGAAGTAAGAGATCAGAAGTGCAATGAGCTCCCGCGGATACTGCGCCTGCGACGTGGACCGGCGCGGCTATGTATGGATCCCATGTGCTACGCTGTGACCGCTGGTCACTGACCACAGACTTGGAGACGAACGGCTTGTCTTCGTCTGGTTAGTAACCACTGGTTACTCACGAGCCTGAATCAGTACATGTACGCGAAAACAAGGATTCACTGCTCTGGTCGAAATGGATCCACTGGCACCCGGCTCTTACATGTATTGTGGTTTTCATCAATTTTGCCGCCGATTTGCTGTGTTATCTCGGGGCCCGATTTTAATATATTGGGCAGGGTGTAGGGTAATTAGGCCCGAATTAGCTATATGTGACCCTACTTAAGGTATTAATGATGAGGGCGACGTCATCTCCAGACGACCTTACCACCCACAACTCAGTTTTACTTATTGAGGAAGAGATAAACACTAAGCGTATGCATACTGTAGCGCGATTGCCGAGTAAAAGGGTGCTATGATATTCCTATGGCGGTTAGACTACGCTTAATCATAGATTGGAACTGTCCAAGCAAATGAGTTTGGGCAGATCATTTATGCTGTAACGGGGTACGTAGCACTAAGTGTACCCTGGTTACATGAAGTGTGACACTTCACACTTCAGGAGTATGACATGTCATACTCCGGGATATTTGGTACAAGGTACCAAGGTCATTCAAAACCAACCATTGGTTAAATGACATTGCATTTCTATAGGTAACTGATAGTTTGTATTAACCACAAACTTAACCTACCTATAAATATACTCAGTTTACAATCTACCTTATTTAGGTCACTTCGCTCTCTTTAATTAAAGAGGGGACCTGTGAACTGCCGTTCACTGAGAGTTTGTATACTCTCGGAAGATAACTTCCTCTAGCGCAAGGTGCTGTGTGACCCCGTCACACTTGGTAGCACTTGTAGTCAATCCACGCCATCGCGGGTAGACTACCTGAACCTCCGAAGTTCGTTGCCATGGATAGGAACGACTTCTCCCATATGAACGACTCTCAGTTCGAGTCGGTTCGGAAGATGGCAGGCATCTTCGAGATGGAGGCCCTGCAGAGCCTGGTGGTATCAACACCGGCTGAGCAGCTCGAGCGCGTCAATGCATTCGACGCGTACGAGCAGGGCCTCATCGCGCATGTGCGGGAGAACCTGCAGGCTCCGGCGGCGGAAGCAAACCCGCCTCACCCGAAGCCAATACGGCTGAAGGTAAAGCCGTATGAAGGGAAGGAAGGCGAGAACCTTCACTTCTGGGTCCGAGAAGTAGAGCTCGCGATGGACGCGGCTCTGATCTCGACCGAGCAACTGCGTGCTGCTTTTGCACTCTCCAACCTTAGCGGTCGTGCTAAGAGTTGGGTGTACACTCGGGAAGCGACATCCCCTGGATGTTTCACATCCTGGGCTCAGCTGTGCGAACAGCTCCGAGCCGCGTTCCTCCCGGCGAACTACGAGTACCGCCAGCGTTCGTGCTTCCTCGCGTGTAAACAAGGAAGACGCGAACTGCACGAGTATGTGCAAGAGATACGGGAGCTCACGGCGTCCCTAGTGGGAAACCCACTCAATGAACACATCAAGATGACTGTGTTCATGGGACGGGCCTTCGAGTGGGCCCCGCACGCACTCAGCTGTTCCGGGTGCAGGGCAAACACCCCTTGAAGAGGCGATTCAAGTGGTATTTCAAGAAGAATACAGCCATCGCCAGGCGCGTACGCCGGCCTCAGCGTGGCCTGGGAGTTCCTTGTCGGCTCCCGGTCGAACAAGCCCCAACGGACCAGTTCCCATGGAACTCGGGTCCGCCGAACAGCGTGACATCCGCTGCTTCGGCTGTGGGAAGATGGGCCACTTCAAGCGCGACTGTCCCGCGGAAAGACTCCGCAGACGGTCCTTCCCCAAGCCCGTCCTCAAGGGTCGCTGGCAGAAGCCAGGATCCCGGGGACAGGGGAACGCAGGGAACCAGTAGGGGCGGGGCGCCCTACTGGCGAAGAACTAAGTCTTCGTGATGGGTGCGCGGGTGGCGCGTACCACGGGGACTTAGCCCCTGAGAGTCTTCGCACTCTCGAATCGGCGAAGAGCAGCGGCGGGTTGCTCGTAGTACACGGATGTGTACGGGGGTACGATCACCCCTTTAGAATCTTGATTGACTCTGGGGCGTCGAAGAATTTCGCACGCCGCCAGACGGTTGCTCGTAACAGCAACAAGTTGTCCGAAGCTTTGCGAGAAAGCAAGGGCAACGGGACGGTGTCAGTGCGACTGGCCGACGGGAAGGTCGTCACTGTCCCCAACGTCCAAGTGGATCTGGCTGTCAAGTTTGAAGACTTTGACAGCCTCGAACAGTTCACTGTTCTCGATATGGATCCATATGATATGATCCTGGGCATGCCCTGGCTTGAGAAGCACGAGCCCTGGATCGACTGGCGAGGCAAGGCAATCGGTGCCAGCCGCCCTGCGCAGTCCGACAGAGCATTGGTGAGTCATGTTCCCACCTCTGTCAGGACCCGGGGCGCCCGCGAGGGCTGCCAGGGTACCAAAGCATCCGGCAGATGCTTGGGAGTCGTCGACGTATATGACGACTCCGAGGATGTTTTGATGGTGGCCGCGCCCAGAAGAGGCGCCGGCCAAGTGGGTAACTTAGGTCCACAGGCGGGTAACTTAGTTCCGCAGACAGCTGCAGCTGTCATGAACACTGAGAACAGCGTGTTCAGAGTGGGTAACAGAGTTCCACTCACGGTCGCCCAGACCATAACTGAAGAGGAAGACGTCGGATACGCTTCCTGTGTGGGTAACACAGTGCCACACGCGGTCGCCCAGACCTTAACTGAAGAGGAAGGCGTTGAACACGCTTCCTGTGTGGGTACAACAGTACCACACGAGGCCACGAGTGCCTCGGATGTCGTAGCGACGACATCCCTAGACGTGGGCAGCAAAGCTCCCCGTCACAGAAGCCGTCGGCAAAGACGCCGCCGCCGCCTCAAGTCGGATCCGAACTTCGTTCCGATCGACGTCGCTTCAAGCGACTCGGAGTCCAGGGCCCGGGCTCCTCCGACAAGGCCGGTGGAAGAGTGCTATCACATCTTCGATAGCGAGACGGGTTTACCCGTCAAGGCATCTGGTGTCCACTTGGAACAGTTGCCAGAGGTTGCCGAGATACTGAACCTCGAGGAAATGACGGCTGAGTCTTTCCTGGCCAACCTCAAGGCTGTAGAGATTGCTGAGATGGTGCTCATGAGACCTGAGACCACTCGGGAGGAGCTATACCCCTCCTCTGTCTTGGACGAGAATGTCCTGGAAGACCTAAACAAGCAGCGTCAGGCGCGCTTGGGTTCTGAGATTCTCAAGAACCCCAAGGATCCGGTGTATTCCTTGGCGAAGGAGTATGCGGACGTGGTGAACAAACACCCACCGACCCAACTCCCACCGGATCGAGGCGTACGGCTCGAGATTGATCTCGTGCCCGGCACAAAGTATTGTGTCACGAGGCAATGGCCTCTCCTGCGCGAACAGTGCGAGGTCATTGATGCCTTCATCGCCGCGAAAGCGAAGGCAGGCATGGTGCGGGAATCGAAATCCCCGCACTCGACGCCGACTTTCTGCGTTCGGAAGCCGAACGGAAAGTGGCGTCTGGGTTCACGCTTATAACAAGCTGAACAACGCAACGGTGCCGGCCCAAACACCGATCCCACGAAAGGATGTGTTCTTGAACAACAAGGCCGGGAGCGTACTGTACAGTGCGCTGGATTTGGTAGACGGATACTACCAAATCCTGATGCGAGAGAGCGACATCCCGCTCACCGCGGTAAGCACTCCAAGCGGCATGCTTTGGGAGTGGCTCGTCATGCCGCAGGGCTTGTCTAACGCCCCAGCGACGTTCAATCGCCTGGTGACGCAACTGTTCCGCCCTTTGCGTACCTTCGTACAGGCGTACTTCGACGACATATTCGTCCATAGCCGTGCCGAAGGAGGCAAGACGGCCATGGAGGTGCATCTAGGATACCTCCGTCGGGCGTTGGACGTAATGCGAGCGAACAAGCTCTACGCCAACATCGACAAGTGCGTTTTCGCGTCACCAGAGATTAAAGTTCTCGGTTGCTTCGTAAGCAACGTGGGCACTCGGGCTGACCCAGACAAGGTCAAGGCCATAGCAGCATGGCCGACGCCTCGATCCCAGAAGGATCTTCGAAAGTGGTTGGGCTTGGCCAACTACCTTCACAAGTACAGCGCAGGGTACGCGGGCTTCGCTAAGCCCTTGTCGAGCCTCCTTCAGAAGGACGTCGACTGAC